GTATAACCCTCAGAAGTGCAGAATCTTCTTTTATTTTCTCAACACATTCATCCCCATCCTCATCAAATAGCAGGAAGCCCCTGAGGCCAGAGCCTCAACCAAAAGAATATTGTGTATACAGCTTTAGCCTGTGGAAACCACAGCAGATCACTCTGCTCTGACACACCTACTTTCACATATTCCAGAAAAAAAGCACACATTTTACCTCTTCACAGAAGTTGTTTTTAGCACCACCATTCAGATTACTATATTACAGAAAACATTTTAACGACTTTCTTTGCAAAAACACAAAGAAATATTGGAGTTATTATTTTCCCTTTCATTTAGTTTCTTGGTTTCTTGACAGCGAGCAATCTCTTCACTCTCCTCCACCTCTCTCTGGGGCTCCTGAAATCTGATATGTGCTTCCCCCTGCATTCCTCCTCTCCCCCTTCTCCCCCGGCATGCCTGAGTCCTCTGCTCTGCCCTCTGTCTGATCTCGCGTTTCTGCGGACCCACAGCAGATTGTTTATTTTGCTAGACACGGAGGAAACATGGATGGACCCTTACATTGGCTCAAGATTTACTGCTGAGCTCCAGGCAGGCTCCAGTGTGATGTGTATCTGGAACAGGGACCCCTATATCAGCAAGCTTAGTCTCCTTTCACCAGTGACACATCACAAAGGACAATGGGATTGCCTGCCTAGGGAATGCAACGTTAAATGATCACATCAGTGGAAACATGGTCTTGTGCATGCAAATACTCCACTCATCCTGCTAATTGTGGATATTAAGGGCGCAGATCATTCAATAAACCATATACGCCAACGTCCTATAATAGACGAAGGGCAACACACACACACACACACACACACACACACACACACACACACACACACATACACACACACACACACACACACACACACACACACACACACACACACACACACACACACACACACACACACACACACACACACACACACACACACACACACACACACACGGATAAGCTGAATGATGCCGGTAAAGGACACCACATTTCCCCAGAGATCATTTCGGCTGCAATTTATGAGGCTCTGCATCTCTGATGTATGCTTGTAAGTGGTGAGGTCAGGGTAGTGGACTAAAATTGCTTTGGGACACTCATTTTTCAAGAGGAAAACATCTATCTGCTCGCTTTATTGTCTACTTTGAGTGTATATATGTAAGTTTTAAGTGGCTGCATGTAACTGAGATTGATTACTGGTCTAAAAGCAACAATGGTTTCTAATGAACGCAAAAAACCCAGTCTCTTCTTCTTCTTTTTCTTCTTCTTCTTCCTACACACTTTAATATGTATGGGTTGTGGAGTGCTAATACAATGTGGTCCCACAATGCAGAAAAATACACATATTGTTGTTGAAAATGCTACTTTGCCTTCCAACCTAAGTGAGTGTAGCAGCTGATGGTAATACATGGAGCTTTGTGGAGACAATTATGATTTATGAGTCATATGAGAGAGATTGAAGTCAGTATATTCAGTACGTTTAAAGAAAGTGAGAGAGATCAAACAGAGCACAGTGCCACATGAAAGGGAACTGAGTATTCATAAGTCTGTCCTATCATCTTTGTACTTCTCCCATCTTTAGTGTTTACTCTCATATGGCACTTAACATTGATAAAGAGTGTATTGCGGAAATATTTCTGATTTTCTTCTCTTTTTTTGGTAATGTATTACTATCCTGTGCAGCCAGCTGGGTAATATAATTTCCTCCACAGGAAGGATGAACAAAGAGAGGATTAAGGACTGAACAGAAAGAGAACTTGAGGTGAATGATTCTGTTGTCATTGAAATATTCCTCAACCAATAATAAATCAATCAGTGCTTATCAGTATACCGCAGTCTACAATGACCTTCTTCTTTACCAGACCCACAAGGCACACTTTATGTCCATACATTCAGATTTCAAAGCAACCATGGAAAATGAACAACACCCTTAAGATGACCTGCTGCTCCCTTCCTTAAAGGAATTCCTGGAGTTTTTCTTTTATTGAAATCGGGGTTGTTGGTGGCACTCTGGGAGTGTAAGTCATTCTCAGGAGGAGCAGAGGTTGAGGTTGGAATGCCAGCGAGGGTCGCAGACGACAACCTCTTGGGCCGGACTCCAGAAGACGCTCTATGGAGCGACCAAGCCACCGGAAATGGAAATGCTATTCCTGCTTTGTCGGACATATTTGGATACAATCAGTTATAGAGATAGACAAAACGTTGTTGGCTCATTTGATCTAAACCTACATATACAACAATTTAAAGACTAAAAGAAAGGGTTTGTAAGTTTAAGAAATGAATGTAGTTGGGTTCCAATTATTAAGATGGCTGAACACTGTCTCTTTCTTAACATAAAATTGATATAGATAACCTATTTTCTTTTTCATTTTCAGAAACGACTTTTTAAGAAATTTAGCATCTATGTCTTCTGACCACAAGGAGGACACAGACAGAATAGGTTGTGCCATGTTTACAAATATCACTTTTGATAAATTGTCACCATCTGAAATACATTATTAGATTGTAAAAGTATTAACTTGTGACCGATTATTAATATTCCCAGGCAGGATTAGTTAATATATCACTAAAAGTGCTTTATGATATCAGTACAGGTGTTTTATTTTAAAAAGCTAATTTAGTGCACCTTTACTGGTGGCAACATATTTATGTTTGGAAAATATTACATGGAAGTTGTGGATTTCAGCAATTGTAGGGTTGCTTTTTTAATTGACATTGCTACCCCATTAAGATCTAGTATTCAAATGAAACTGAGAATAAAAAATACCTGTTTCATTGCTTCAGTCCATCATAGATACTATTACTACTACATTTAAGCTCTGTGAATCTTCAACAATATAAAGTTAAAAAACTGTAATGGAGTTAAAAACCTCATACATCTCAACAAGTCACTCTAAGCTGCCATCTACTGGTTGCTCTTGTTTGTGCTGCTGGTATTTCTTGGGTTGCTGTTTTTCTAGGGAGAGAGTTTACTCAATGCAGTCTGGTACATGGGGCGAAATTATAAACCCTAAATCATGTGCAGAAATATCTCTAGATAAAACAAATAAGGTTTGTAAAGCACTGGTTGTAAAGAACCGGAAAGGGGATTACCAGTGTGTCACCAGAGTATTGCATAATAAATGGCTCACTGTAGGTTCATGCTGACAGAGAGAATTACAAATGAAATTCCAAGGTATCCCGATAGTAAGATAGTCAGCATTTCTTTAGGATTATGAGGTTTAAAAATAAGTGGAAATAATGAACTAAAACCGAAACTGTAATCCCTTTTGCTTCAGGGACTGGGTAAACCAAGCCACTGCCGTATTTTGGTTTTAATGTTACCGTAGAAACAGTGAAATTGTAAATAATAGTCTTGTCAATTTGTAAATAAGGTTAAAATTATATATCAATGCCAAATGAAGCTCAACCATGTACAGTCATGTGATCTAAGTGTCAAGTGGTGCTTGTGGCACAATATTTCCAAACAACAGTATATTCTATATTCATAATCATGATCCAACATGTATTCTTCCTCAGGAATTTCATACATTTGATTCAGAACAGGTTTTCGGAGGTGGATCAGAGGTAACATAACAAGCCTTAACGAAGTATTACTGAGACTTGGCCACAACAAGGGAACTTCATCTCTAGTGGTATAAATCATGACCACAAAACCTTAAATATCACCAGAGGGCACCAAAGTTCAGCAAAGCACACCACCATAAAAACTGGTAATGTAGTGTTCAAGTATATTGTGGAACAGATTAACAAAACTTGCCTTGACTATTGTTATTTCAGGGTATTGGAAAACAGTCAATTCTTTGTACTGAGAAATGTAGTATATGTATTCGAGTGAGGCATCTTCTCTCATTAATGAATAAGTACATTTTTGCCATATACTCAAGACTAACTTGTTTTTGCTGACCTCTGGTGATAGTTCTCACCTTGCATTATTCTACAAATGTTGAAGTGAACATTCAGTGCATGTAGATTTCATTGTTGGCTGTGGTTAAGTTATTAATATTTTCACGTGCCTATTTCTTTCACAGATGGTCAGCGATGAAACAGGTACTAAGAGTATATTTGGGCTTTAAACTATGCTGCACATGGTAATGTATACAGATTAGGATTTGGATTAGTTAAGGCACGAAAAAGTAAAATGTGCACAATCCCCAATCCAAAAAGTACATATTAGGCATCACTTAAGTGTTGCAGATAATAAAATCATTTTTATTTGTTACTATATACTGTCGGTCGCTTGTTACATTTACCAAGGGATCAACAAATACCTTTGTTGACATATAATAATTTATGGTACATTAATGGTTGATTTATTTACTAATACTTTTCATTAGTAATCTGAGTCTTTAAAGTAAGGGTATAGATCTGAAGCAGCAGGAAATTGAAATGCTAAAGCAACATACAAGTACCTCAAAATTGTACTTAAGTATTCTTATGCAAATGTACGTTCCTGTCCATCACTGCTTGAAATGTGCTATAGGGTGCTATACAAATAGTGTTCTAGCTACCAAATGGTGCAAACCCCTCAAAAGCCATAAACTCACGGCATGTTAATTATTTTTTTTCAATGTAAATAAGTGCAAAGTTGTTATGAAATGTTGAAATACTTAAGTGCAATGACAACTAAGGTGAGCCCAAAATATAAGCCTTTTGTGCTAACACATTAATTTCTAAATAGGGCCCAACAGCTAGGTAATGGTTTGCCTAACAGGTTAATCTGGCCATGCTTGTCACAGCTACATTTTACAATAATGTAGGCTCAATACTTTTCACAAAACTTGTTGATCGTTCAATAATGTAAGACATAGAGTAAAATGAGAACAGTGTACTCTAGTTTTGGACAATGTTCACATGCACGCAACAACAGGTTTGCAGACGCGCAGGCTGGAAGAACCCTCAACCAGCTAACCACCCAGAGCTGCTCTGAGCTGCGCGCTGATTGGCCAGGACCAAGTAAAGGCGGAAGTCTACAGAACAGGGGGATTCCCCGAGGGAAGTTCCCAACTCAAACTAGGCTATGTAAAACATACATAGCCATATCCTCTCGGGCGCTTCGTAACTTTGCATCTGAAGATTAGGCGACGACTCTGCGGTGGTGTCAACACAATAAATTCGACTTTAGCAGCTACATGAATGAAGGTAAGAGGACGCTCACCGTGGAGTCGCTGCTCCTTCGCTTTATCCCCGCCACCGGTTGAATGAGCTACAGCTAACCGGTCACTTACTGTTTAAGAAATACGGAACTGTGTGGACTAGGGTTTGCATGACACTTAAAAGTGCTTCCCTCCTGTGCCTCGGTAGGCTCCAACGTTAGTGTTAATGTAGGGTACTTCCTCCAGGAGCCGTTGGTCTGACAGCTACTCTGTCCTTTTATAATGAGGATTGCTTAATAATTGAAGAGCAGATCTGGGTGACGGTGACATCAGACTCTTGTTTTTTTTGCATCATCTCAAAACGTCCCCGAAAACTATTATCACAGTAAGTACGGTGCTGCAATTTGCAAAGTGTGCAAAAATGTGCTTAAAAGTGATTAAAAGTCAGTTCTGACAGATGACAACAACATGTAGACCTGTTTAGGTCAGGGTTGTTACATGTTATTTCCAAAGAATTGCAAAGTAATTAAATTAATTGTTTTATTGCTGTGTTTTATTTGCTCAGCAACATCCTCATCATTTGTCACAGACTTCAAACAGGGCATTGATTGTTGAGATGTTAATACTATTCTGCTTTTGCACGTTCAATTATATGGAACCGGAACTGCCAACAATATTTTGTAATGAACAGAAATTAGGAAATATATTTACTCAGTTTCTCAATTCCTCAGTGGCTTACATACATTTAACACACTTATTTGACATCACTTTAAGGAGTCATTACTTTTTACTTACATTGTGTCTGACAACATAAAGGAAATTAAAAGGGTAACTAGCTCCATATTTTCCTTGTTCGGAAAAGTGCTTTTATCATTTTGTGTGGTGTTTTTTGAATCACCAGGGCTCATGTCTGCTGTGTCAGGGATGATTGTGGAGCACACGGCATGGAAAGGAACATTGGAGACCAGCTCAATAAAGCTTATGAAGCTTATCGCCAGGTCTCCATTGAAAAGGACAATGCTAAAATGGAACTGCAACAAATGGTAACGTTGTGATGAGAAAAATGTTCAAACGTTGAGTGAAAAAGTCAAATGTTGCCAATACAATAGTTCACAGAGTTGCTTGCCAAATGTGTTTATTAGTTGTATTTGTGTAACAGTCTAATAGAAAGAAATGTGTTTTGAAAACATGATTAATATTTATCTTTGTATTAAAAAATACGACTAGTTAAAGACCAGATTGCAGATATTGATGCGCAACAATAACAGAAACCTCATTTTTGCAGAGTGTGTATTATGAGAGTTTCACTCAAAAACTTCAAAAGCAGATAGAGGACCAGCAGCAGTTGATTTCCAAACTTGAAGCTAAGTTATCTTCAACAAGGCAACCACCAGGTTAGTGAGACGTGCCACATGATCTCTACTTATTCTTATGCCGACATTATCATTCTCTGCATCGCAACCTATGTACTGATATTGGATTATCTTACATTGCCTCCTGTTCAAACTGTTCTTTTTCTCTGTGTTTTATAGAGATGAAATGTGAGCCTATCTACCATCTCCTCGATGGGGCCAGCGCTTATAAAAAAATGCAGTACCCGGTATGTTTGCTATGCTACAGTGTGGTTTCCCTAAGTCTACGCTTTGTGAAAAATTGCAATATAATGGCTCTGAAAATGTTTTTTCTTCATTGTCATTGTTGAAATTACACCGAACATACATGCAGCTTCCTTTTGTCGCACACAATTACACGTTGATAGTACTTCTGCTTGATGATGTTGTTGCACTTGTGCCAACAAGGATGTTAAAGGTAGGGTAGGTAATTCACTTCAGAAACGCTTTTTGTTATATTCCATGGACTGCTTTTAACATCCCGATAGCAATGAATAAATGAAATACTTTGACAATAAATATATACAAATATTTCATCTGTGGAAGCCATGGCGCTGTAAAAAGCAAGTGGCCTACCTGCCTGTCAGCCTTCCATCTCGTGCACAAACTTATCTCGTGCCCTCATTAGTCATGTGCGCGTTTGTGTGTGTTGGAGGAGGGGCTCTGTAAGGAAGTCTGAAGGAAGGGGCAGATTTTTTTCGGTTGTGTACTTTCAAATTCTAGCTTACTCGAGCTGGTTTCTCCATTCTTACCTACCCTACCTTTAAGAGAACACAATATATCAGTGAGAAATTAATAAAGCATTGACTGCCCCATATGCATTTTTTATAATCTCTTACAATTTTTTAACACTGCTTTTGTGACTCTGTCAGTCTGCAAATATTGAATTCATTGTAGCATTTCTGGCCTTTTGTTACACAGCTCTAAACCAGTTTGCAGATAAATACATGATAGTCAAGAGACATTATATCCTTGTTCAGTCATTCATGCTTATCAGAGATGAATATCCATATACTTTTAGAGTTGTATAATGCTTCCAATTGTTTTTACAAAGGTTCAAGCTAAAAGGAAACCTCAGATTACATTGCTGCTGTTACAATATCCAGCCACTATTTCACTCCTCACAAGGTGTATCTGCTCTTACTTCACCAGATGGTGCTAGAGGATAATATCACTTGCACAGTTCAGCAGCTTGAGCTTTGTTCAATATTTAACAGGCCAGGAAACATGCTCCACCAGTAAATGTAAATGTTTGATGTGTAAACTGCAGAGGCATTAACAATATGCCTTTGGATAATTGTTGCTAACGATCTCTATGAATGTAATGTCATTTCTTCACAGGACAACATGGGCACTGTTGCTCCTATTATGCCAGTCAACAGCAGCGTTGACTAGTATGTGTCTCTTACATTTTCATTTATATATGTATACAAATCATGAACATTTCGGTTAAAGAATGGATTTTTTGTCACTATTTTTTTCTTTTTCAGTCAGGACATGTTGGAAGCATTTGAAGCGATTCAAGGGAAATTCCGGCAGATTCGCTCTCTTACCAGAAGACAAAAAGATCACCTAAAAAGATTCCATGAAGGAAATGATGTATCAAACGGTAATGGTAATATACACCAAAACAATGCCTTTTCTTTATGGCCTTTAACCTAAGTCTTGTTTTCTATATTTAATTACTTAAAGGAAAATGTGCTGAAATTGAAAAAGGTTCATATATGTCATAACCACTTATAAGTTAGCTTGCTTTTGATAAAGATACATATATAGCAACACCTTAACTAAGACTGTTCACAAATGCCTCTGTGCCCTTTGGAACAATAGCTGGCAACCTTTGTTTAGAAAATGTATTATACTTATTCATACAATATTTAACACAAAGGGTAATATAAATATTGTTTCTAACAAATAAATAGGTGTATATAGCTATGTATTCAGCTAATTTGTGTGTATACAGTACATGTATTCAGTATACTGTATTTTTAAAGGACCAGGATTATATCTCAATGCAACTTTTCAAATCGTTGCCAAGTTAAAATGTCATTAAAGCCAGCGCAGGAATACGGCATCAAACACGGCGAGCGAGACATAAAAACTGTACAATCTTGTGTTTTTCTGCCGTCTGACAGATCAGCGGTTTTCCATGCCCATCCAGTGCACAGACCGTACAGCAGAGGCACAGAGACCCTTCTCTGCAGTGCTCAGGTCAGCGGTGGATATTCCACTCCCGCCTACGTCTCTGGCGTCCCGCGGCACCAGCCCCGAGGACAGGGACTTAGTAGACTCTCTCACCAAACTCAGTGTCAAATTTCCGCCCTCTGCTGACAGTGAATATGACTTCCTGAACAGTGCACCAGAGAGACACATTGGTCTTACCATGCCCACCAAGCGGCCTCTCAGTACTGTTCCCTCCACGTTGTCAGAAGAGGAGCCCGTTGAACTACCCATGCCTTTTGTCTACCCCCCATCCCCCTCCCACTCAACATCATCTTCGCTCTCCCATGAGAGCGTGCGGGGACCCCAGCAGGTGAGAATCACAGGAGAAGGTCGGAGAAAACTAGTAGCACATTATCAGTGTCTGATTGGTATTTGCTAATGGAGGAGTGAAAGAGTGTGAAGTCCTAACAAAAAATCCCCTTGGCTTTATTTGAAACATATTACTGTGTAATGTGTTCTGATTCTTTTTTATTCAAGCATGGATGCTCAGGTTACATTTGGCATCTTAGCTAGAATATGTGAGCCAGATGGAAGCACATTACAGAGTCTGAATTGAGTGGTATTTTATTTGCTGATGTGTGCAAATGTCTAATAAAAACAAAATTGTGAATGACATGCAGTCAGATCTTAAAGTTGCTCCAGTTTTCCATGTTGAGATTCTTTCCCTGGATTACACCAACATGGACTTTTATAATAGGCTGGTTTCCTTGTGTGGTTAAACACATAAAGAGTGAAATAATTAAACACTTGAGAATAGCCTTTTGCCTTCACTGTTGCTGAGCGTTTGTGCAGACTTTTGGGTCGACATATACTTGTTTTTCTTAAAGCAACAGATACTTCAACTTGAAGGCCAAGCGGTCCAACATGCTTTAATAGAGTGAGTGTAAGGATTGTTAAGAGCATAAATAATATATTGTTTTCTTTGGTTCCTCCTGCCCTGCAGCCCCTCTGGAGCCCTGAGCTGTGTGATGCAGCTGATGTGGGGACAGAGCTGGAGACGCCTCCGAGCAGCAGTCCTGATAAATGTGCTTTCTGCCACGCTGTGGTGCCTCAGGAGCGAATGAACAGCCACCTCTACTTACATTTCTCTCCTAAAAACGAAGCCGACAATTGACAGTGGAAGCAGAGACTGGCAAGGCCCCGGCTACTCTGAGACTTGTTGTTCTCATGGTGTAGTCCTACCCGCCATGAACAACATGCGCTGTACTGGATTTGAAATGACACTGCAATAGGACTTGAATCCATTTATTTAATATAGAAGAATTGAATGGTACACTTTCTTGCCCATTATATTTTTCTAATATCACGCTGAGATTTTACTCTAGTACTAAGTGACAATGATACGGTAATACTATGATATATATGAGCAAATAAAGCCGACATTTACTCTTTACATTTTATATCATTGGATTGGTTTTCAAGATGTAAATATAAATGGGGTGCTCATAAGTTTATCCATACATTAAGCGTTAAAATGGACAAGATTTTCATTCTTTCTGCAAGATGTTTATAAATTATTATGCCAAAACCTAATTTGCATTATTAATATGTAGTTACCTTTCAAAGAAATTATTTGCTTTGGACATTTGCAATATTTTTTGTTGAATTAAGACACCTTTACCTCTTTTTGTTGGCAGCAAGATGTGATATCTCAGAACAACCAGCGCTACACCAGGCTACATTTTTGCTGGACTCATCAATGAGAGCCAACATATAGAGGAGGTACCTGCACACTTAGATATGTGCAACATTTTCCACTTTCTTTTTGAGCTTTCGGTCTAACAGCCCTTCATTAGAGTATACCTCGTATATATCATATCTCAGAACAGATCTTTAGAATAACAATACCCATCAAATCACTCAAACGTTAATCAATCTTTTCCAAAACATGACGTATTAATTAGCACTCTTTAGACTGGCACTACATTCCCATCGTTCTTTCGTGTTGTTTACTTCAACCAGGATAATTAGAAGCAGATGTATGTCATTACTGGTGCGGGGAGATGGGAACATTTCCAACTTAGAAATGATTTTAAAAGGTAGTTAACCATGTACTCATTAAGAGTCTCCACAGATAGGAACATCTAACATTAGGCACAAGCTTATTGTTAAATCACATGGCCATTACATACAGTGTTTATGTAGGCGTAATCATTTTAATTGACAAATGAACATTAATACTCCAGAGTTATAATATAAGACATTCCAGGTGTGCCAGTTTAATGTGTAATTTAAGCTAATATTAACAAAATAATAGTTGTGGAAAAACATATAGAAAATTGATACATAAGAAGATTAGGGCCATATGCGGAGAATGTATTTCGGCATATACTGAATATACTGTCATATCATATCATGTCATATACTGTCAGCTATACTGAAGCATCATCTGTTCTATTTCCAAATGACAATGTATTTTACTGAAGAGGATTAGGGTTCATGTGAAACATTTATTTCAGTTAGTTTAGAGTCAGAATACTCTCTTTAAACTGGAATACATTGTCTTATATGGCCTTACTCTTTCCATAAAATACATTGTGATTTGGAACAGATCATTTTTAAGTCCGTCACATTTCTCAGTGTGCACACAACCATCATTTCACTGAGTCTTTTCTGAACAGCAGCATCGGCTTATTGCATGCAGCAGTATTTATTCACACCTTTGCAAACAATTTCAGTGATTTTCACCATTGGGCGTGATGATGTTTGAGGAAACGAAACACTGTGTGAGTGTGTTGGAACACTGTGTTGTGCAGAGAGGACCTTGCAGCCCTCAGCTATGGGCTGCTAACACTTTCTGGGTAGATGAGCTAGTGTGAAGACTGCAAACAACCTTTTTTAAATCTCTTTAAGTGTTTGGTATTCTAACTATATACCACTTATCAAATACTGCTTAACAGACTGATTGATTTGTTATATCAACCTTAAACTGATATTTGCGTTGCACATTTCACTGTGTTTCATTAATAGCTCTGAAGGGTGTAAAAATATGCAGAGTAGTAATGCAATAAACCATTCTAGTGAGTCATTGGACTTAGAGAAGAGCCTTGATACAACATGCCCACCATGGATACGTAGGAAAGAATTTATTCAGATTTGATTTTTTTTGGCAAATGCATATCCCTAATGATCCTCTCTGGTTAATCTGTGAAGAGTCGAACATTGTGCAGCCTGCATGCTTTTCTCTCTGGGATCATGAACAGCTGCTTGCTCATAATTATGTTGTCATTCATTGTTATTTGGAAGAGGGTACTCATACTGACAGCTAGGATTTTTTTTTCTATGCTTCCGTACATTGTACATTTACACTGCTTGTGTGTGCAGTTGTGTGAACTGTTTTAGAAAAGTCCACTTCAGCTTTTTTTCACTTCCAGAAGAATATAAGATGTGCCATATTTCCCCCTTGGACATTTGCTACCAAAAGGCAGTACATTTTAGATGGATTTAAGAGCTGTTAAAAAAAAAAATGAAAGGGGACAAAAAAAAAGGAGAAGGATATGGATTGAGACAGAGAAGTAGCAGGCTGATTAAAAGGTGTCAACATTGCCAGGAGCAAGAAGGTGAAAGCAATCAGGGGTGAGAAGAGTGCAGCATTCGTGAGGGGCAACTAATTATCCATCTCATTTGAGGAGAGAAGCATTTGAGGCAGCTCTAGCCCACTGAATGGTGACAGATTGGTGCGGAGGAGAGGGGAGGTGTTAGAACAATGGAGCCCAGCTCACCATCATTACTGCATGCTAATCAGCAGTGCTTCTGCACTACCAGTCGGTGCTGCGGAGAGTTCGGGCCGAGACAGGAGAGTCACCGGCTTCAGGGGACCAGCCGACAAGAGAGGGGGGAATGATGCACAGTACGGCTGTCTGCGCTTATTTGACTTTCTAGTTTATCCTATGCATCGATTGATCTATGTGGCCTGTGTCATCCGCTTGGAGGATTAATGCCACTAAAAGTTTAAATCAGTAAAATAGAAATAAATAGTATACATTTTAGGATTTCAGACAATGTTATTTAAATGCCGATACAACACAATGTCTATGAGACTCAATAAATGCACATTCAGTCTATATAAGCAAATTACATTTAAATGTATGAAAATGAAAAAGGAGATGGAAAAGCAGTAGAAAAGCTCAATAAAATGACACAAGAACAGGCTAGATAAACCAAGAAAATAATTCATTACTTTATTGTGAGTACTGCAGAAATAATTGATGAAAAAATTCAAATCAGAGTCATCATCATAATTTCATAAAATACACATTAAAAAAAAAGGTAGTTCACATGGTTGCAACACATTACTTATGGTGTCCCTTTCTTTGTCAATTTGTTCAGCTGTACTGAGTTCTGTGTTCGTGTAACAATGGTGTTCAAAAACTGATAAAAACAGCTTTGTGTTCCTGAAGAAATCTACACTCATTATCCTATTGTGCACATAAGCATATAGCCACAGAAATCACACGTTTTCTAATGCGTGATGAAGGTGTGTTAGTGATTGTTTACAAAGCATGCTTTTATTTTGGGGTTAGCAAAATAGTATTATGCTTATTAGGGTGGTCCTTGTTATGCTTTTTACACCTATTGACAGTTTTCATTAATATACAAAAAGTACTTTTCCTTCTTAAATTACCTTCAATAGTGCCTGTATTCATATATTATTATGAATAGTGATTGTATTCATCACTTCTGTTTATGACTGGTTTGTGACAACAGGCTTAATAGATATCAAGACATTTGTGCTTGATATAAAATATTCAAACAACAATAATATTTAGAATTTTTCCTTTAAACTTATTTTTTAATCTTTATTTGCCAGTAATTGGATCATAATTGCAGTAGTAAAGAGACAGATGAAGTCTTTTTTTCAACAATTACCCTTCTTAATATTCAAACAATGGTTATCAGATCGTGCCATTGCCAAGAATGTCAAACGCGAATGGGGGAAAAAAAGGTGATTGTTAAAGGGGTTTCATCAGATCGTAAAACAAAACAAAGAGATAGCAAGTGGACTAAGGTCACCTGACTAGAATGGCCTCTTCACATCAATGTCATTTAGATAATTAACAACTTTGGAGAGAAGCATATTCAACTGTCTGTTCACTGGTCACCGTTGGCATGAGAGACTGCCAACTCTCATGGCGTTGGGAGCTGAGAGTATCACCTCACAGTTGCCTTGCCATGCGTTGGGCTGCTCGTGCTCTCTGTGCAGCAGTGGCGCAGCCGACTTTGGTTTCGATTAAATGTGTTGAAGCCATCGCTGCCTTTGCAAAGTCTCAGAACAGCCTCCCCTCTCCATTGTGTTTGTCTCAGTGCTGGTCTGAGAGCCCTGCTTTCTGGAGCAGAGATTTGGCAGTCACAGCAAGTGATGACAGAGGCAGTGGTGAGATCGCACCCAGAACCCCAGAGGAGGCTCACATTTCATGGGGATGAGAGGCTTGTTCAATACACAGAACACAAAGGCACTGATCAGAGGAGTCTGAGAATACTATTGTTCTGCAAATCACATTGTTCAGCAACCACTACTTTTATGTTTACTTGTGGATGGTGGGAGTGTTGGACATTTGTTAACTTCTGAACTTTTTAAAGACACTTGGCTGCCAATTGGAAATAACAGTACGACTGAAAGTCTGGCTCTGAAGATGGCATCCTCTTGTTATCTTATTGTCTCTTTTAAATCAGTGTAGGTTGTTTTTGTCTCTCTTCTTGACACATGGGGGTGGGATGGAGCATGGCGATGTTTGCAGAATGGTAACTTGCAATTCAAGGGTTAAGGCAGCATGAAAGAATCCATTCTCGGTTTAATGACCTAGCCTTGCTGGGCGAGGACGACAGGGAACATGCTCTTGACTTGTACTGAATTTGCCAATTAACACCTCTGATAACAGGCTGCCTCTGAACATCACCAATGTAGAAGGAGGAGGAGCAACTCTCATGCACTTTGTTTTTCAGCCCCTGATCCTGTAAGGATAAGGTCTGCAATTTCTTCATACTCTGAAAATTATTTTGCCTTGTTCACGGCTTGATAAATTCTCTTTCATAGTAGAAGGCTTTGAAATAAATCCTCCCTTCATGTGCTGTGTAGTCACCGACTGGCAATGATATTGGAAATATTTTATTTTTCCACGTGCTGCTCGAATCCTTATGTAGTTGTTGGACATTCTATTTTTCGCACATGCCCATATGGCCATGTGCAGCTTCAATTAGACACATGGCTGGTATCTAAGATACACCGTACTTGATTGGCTTTGTCCCTTCTTATTGTTGAAATCGAAAACACAAAACAACAGCGCTGTCCTTGATAGATATATGTCTAAAAAGATATGTCCCCTCAAATAAGGTTCCCGATTGCATTCACCCCTCTGGTTTCACACATGCTTATCAGACTCCCAAACAACACCTAGTACAGGTGTGAATATCAAATTCCCCAGTGAAAATCACAGTGGGTACTCGTGTGTTGTCCTCAGGGTCTTTTTACATGCAGCAGTGGTTTGCATTTGGGCCAAGATGCTGCCGGCTAACGGCAACTGCAGAAACACCTTTGGCTAAGTGCAAGGTGGACATCCTTACACCAAATGGGCTTAATGACTGAAAAAAAAATGCCACCCAGATCTAATTGAAAAAGACGATGTACAGTAGCTGGTTTTGCCCAGTAGAATCACACCATAACACAGTAGTTTCACAATTCATTAGCAGGTACTTTAACAATATACAATAATTGAAAGATGGCTGCATAATTGATAGCAGTTCACACCATGGGGAAAGTGCAGCGATCCATCTAATGATAGCAATAAAGTGTAGTGGGTTATGAAGAAGAAGTTAACACTTGAGGTGTGAGCACTGTACAGTTATGACGAAAAAAAGGCCTCGTCCTAACACTTTGTCAACATAACAGATACAAACACTGCGAAAATGTTAGTCATATTGATATCTGAACAGTTTCACAATGCTCAGAGTTATCATAGCTCTCATGTCCTCATGCTGACCACCTTCATGTCATGAGCAGGGATGCTCGTATGTAAGAGATGCTGCTTACAAATCAATTCATATATTCAGTGTTAAGAAACCATCTGGCTTGATTAGAGCTGAAAGTCATCCTGGCAGGCCAGTTTCCTGACTGACACCACATAGAATTAGTGGGAGGACGGCTTCATTTATCGTCCTTGATCAGCTCAAAATATGCAATTTATCATCTTGCCATACTCAAAACTCAAATTTAAACAGGAAAGTCTTCCACCAGCTCCGCTTACCTCGAGTCTTTGTTACAGTATTAAACAGATTCAGCATATTCGGGTTGTTGTTTATTCGACGTAGACAGTGAGATATAACACTTTTTGTGTTCTCTTTGTGGAAGCTGTGAAAATGGCACGCCATATGTAATACACTTGCTTGCTGTTGGTCTTGCCAATTCCCCCAAGATCAGTCATTTCTGTGCCAACGCTCACACTCTCTCTTTGTCCTTGTGATTCGATTGAGCTTTGTGGATTGGATGGCTTTCTTCTTAAAGCTGTGTCGGGTGTTGTCAAGTTGTTGATTTGATGTCACTCGGGCTCATTTAAAAAATAACAATCTGAACCAGAACATACGTGTTCAGATGCAAACCTACGAGCACATTTAATATAATCAGTCAAAGATAGTTAAAGCACCCAGAAATAGGAAGGAAAAAGCCTGAAGTACACATCGTAAACAGGAAGCAGATGAGAGGCAGGTAGAGATAAACCAAATCAGGCTCCTGCGATGTTTTTCCCCCTTCTAATTCTGCACCAAACAAATTGGCTGCATATTTTGTTCACACCTTTTGTAACCTGGGGATAACAAGCGCACTTCTCCCCCGTCATACCTGTGACAACAACCTGCAAAGTGCTCCCAGTGCCCTAATCTGAGTCCTGCTGCTGCGGCTGCATGTAGATGTTGTTTTCATCTTCATAAGCAGCTTGTCCCTGTGTTTTTTTTTTTTACATTTACCACCCACCAGAATCACACAAGGTAAAGGAGAATATGCGAGTGTCTCACAAGCTACCAATTTTTTTTCACGAAAACATGGTCGCGCTCGGTAGAAGGCAAAAAAGGCATACTGATGGTGTTTGATTTAGAAATGGCAGTCAGACCATGATTTTAGCATCAACAGATGGCCAGTAGCTTGGTTTAAATGAGTAACACCACTGCCTGCTTTAGAGTTGGCTCAAGTATTAGAGTAGTGTACTACCGTCTGATCATATCTCCCTGTGTGAATGATGATGTCACCATGATAGATGCTACTCAAGTGGGATCAGACCTACTCAGTGATGCCTGTAGAGACCAGCTCTGGGAGATCCCTGTCTGGCTGCATTATTCAACAATACTCCTTACCTCTCCTAGGGAAAAGGGACTGTTGAATATTTGAAAGATAGAATTTTTATTTTTTATTTAAGTGTTTAGATGTTGATGGGAGAGAGGGGGGAAAAAATAGAGATAGTGCCAGTCGGTGCAGCCTGGATGGTCACCAAGGCAACTTGCCGAGATTTTCTTACTGATCTACGGGACTTCTTGGCCGTCTCACTTGGGGGACGTTTTGGAAAAGTAAGCTTCCTCGAGCGCCTTTTGACAGCGACTACGAGTTGCTGGATCATTGATCATTTTAGTCTCATAATTATGGACACCAATTAGTTTGGATTTCTGATGAAACCTTCTTGCAAAGAGATTTGTAGTCACCTGCATGCATGTCTATATTTTTCTCCCTTTACACTTAGTCGACTAGGGCTCAAACTGTAGCTTAAGTGAACTTTTTTCTAAAATCTTAAAAATAGTAAAAGGTTCTGAGTCTCCTCTCGTTTGGTGAAATTGACTATATCAATATTTCAGCTGCAACATAAGAAAGGAAATCTGCTCATTGATAACATACCAGACATTGTGCCAGACAGTTATGGCCTATTTTCAGAATGACAGCGTAAAACAAACAACAAGCAGAACCACTGCTCCAAGATCCTGACGAGCCACGCTGAGTATCGATCCATCTGGCTCCGAAGACACTGTCACGTCACCTTTGCATTTAAGTGTTATGGTGTCAGCTTCAAATGATCTAGCTGTCAGATCTGGAAAAAGCCGGCCTGTGTGATGATGCTTTGTCTTTAAGTCCAGCTGTTACTACAACAATCTGCGAGATCAGCGATAGATTTGATATAGTATTTTTACCTTTAATCTCTATATTGGATGTTTTTCTAAATATTTTTTTTATTGTTTTGTATATTACACGTAATTTTAACATAAATTCAACATTGGTT